CATCCAGCCGCCCCCCGTCGTCGTCACCTTCCCCGGCCCCATCCTCAGCTCCTTCCCCCAGCAAGCCGTGGTGGGCTCCTCCGGAGCACCCGCCTTCGGGGGCTCCCTGGGGCTGGGGGGCCTCTACGGCGCCGGGGCCACGCTGGGCTCGGGGGGCCTCTGCACCTTTGGCAGACCCTACGCTTCCCCTGCCTGCAGCCCTTGCGCCTTGCCCCGCTACAGCAAGAAGCTGTGGGACACCTGCGGGCCCTGCTAGACTCAGCCCAGCCCCTGGCACTGCCCCCAGCCCAAACGCCAATGCCACCACCACCCATGCAGGGCTGAGCTGGAGGGCACGAGGCCCTGAGGAGTGCTGAGCATCCCCAGCCCCAGCCGACGCCTGGGCAGCTGCCAGCGTCCAACGCGCTCGGCGCTTCCCGGCCCTCTTCTCCTGCCCTCTGCTCTCCTCCCCTGCCCTCTCTTGCCAGCTGTGGGACGGGGCAGGAGGCGGAGCCAAAAGGCTCTGCCAGGCTGCAGGGCCAAGGCCTTGCCATCTGGAATGCCACCACTCCAGGGGGGCAGCGGGAGCGAGAAGCAATGCTCTGGAGAAGATCCCGCTGCCTCCTCCAACACGGGGCAACCAGGCTCTCTGGGTCTTGCCCACCATCTCTCTGACAGCCTCTCCTGCCCCTCTGGGCACAATAAAGGTTTCCTGCATCCAAGTCCTGTCTCCCTCCGTTCTTGTCTTACATTTATTGCCCATTTGCTGTTGGAGGGCAATTGCTGGTCTCTCCATATTTCACCTTAGGATATCACACATCTTTCTATACCTCGGAGAGAGGAGGTAATTCCTGGTTTCTCCTTCTCCTACTCTAGATGTGTGGTGCTCAGTTCAGGGAAAATATTCTTTTCCCTAATTGGAAAGAGGAATGATTCAATTACAGAAATGTAGCAATGAATTGGGAGCAGGTGGTTGCACTGCAGATGTCTCTTTAAGAAATATGTGCGTAGTTATATACAAATATGTGTACAGATATGTGTTGTGTCCATAATACTCATATATTAGGGTATGCTGTCTTGTCTACTGTTCATGATCTTCCAGAAGAAGGTGTGATGCTGTCCTCTCATGCTCCAAACCTTTGTACTTCTGTAAAACTGCTACTCTATCACATTCAGGGTATTTAGAACTCCCTTGTGTCAAAAGCAAACACAGATCATCTTTTTTTTAATTTTACTCACGATGACCTGTTATTTTACCCCTTACTGCAGTACACGTGAGATTAATTAACTTAAGATTAGTGCCATTCAATTTTCTTGGATTCACCCTCTCTTTTAGGGAAGGAATGATATGTTGCCCTTGAAAAGGAAATTGCACGTGCTTCCCCTTGTTTTGATATGTTCTGCTTATATTACCACTAGTCTCTGGTATTCTGTATTTACAATGGATTCACTCGAGAGCGTGCCATCTCCCTATGCCTTACCATCACCTGTTTGGGGATACTCAGAGAGTTTTTCCTCTTCTGTGACTTCTTTCTGACTATAGCTTGTGTTACGCCAGATCTTTTCTCCATAGTCAGCAGGTTCATGGCTGTGCACTGCGCTACTGAAGATCATACCGTTACTGTTACTCCCATCAGTTAAGCCGTCTTGTTTTTCCAGTCTTAAATTCTGATTCCCTCCTGTTTAATGCTACTCAGCTTTATGTTATCAGCACATAAAACAGAGTGCTCTGAAATGATGTGCCAATGCCATTAAAGCAAACAAATAATTAGAAGTTTTCTGAGACTGATCCTTGAGTAACTAATGTAGTAAACTTCCTCCATTTCTATAACTCCCATATAACATTAGACACTGGCAGAAATGCTGTCTCTATGTACCATTTTGAAATCAGACATGAGCTCACCCTGAACAGGCATCCAGCCCAAATAGAAGCTACGTGATCATGTTAGCTGGGTGCTAATAGCTCTCACCAATCTTGTTGTCTTGGGCTAGGCACTTACTGTCTGACACAATACACGTCTAATTGGGTGCTGGCTGGTACCTCCCTGACACTGCCTTATTGAGAGAATCAGTGGCAGTCGGAGCTCAGGCGTTCAGCTGTGATCACGAATGATTTACACTGAAGTACATCTTAGAGGCTGTGCATGAGAGAAACGTTCCTGGTGTTGAGCACCAGAGAAACAGAGAGGAAACCAGACATCCATGTTTTGTAAAGCTGTCCCAGGAACTGCCCTGGACTGAACTAGCCGGTTGGAAAAAGGGCTTTGCTCAGCACAAGAGAGGTACCTGAGCCAAGGGGATGCAGGGCTCGTGTGGCACAAGCTAGGAGGCTGGTTGCTGAGCTCCTGGGAATTCATGGCAGCAGTGTCCTTGCTTCAAGCCACGTGAGGATGGAGAGCAGCAGCAGGGTCAGAGAGCCGTTTCCTTGTGCCCAAAAGGCAAGAGCCTTTCTTCTCCACCTCAGCTGCCTGGGCTCTTCACACATCTCAGGCACTCATGGAGCAGGGGCTGGGCTCTCGGCTGGGCCCTGCAAGCTCCGGTCCCTTCCCAGACGCCCCCAAACCTTTTGCAAAAAGCTCAAGGCCATGAGGGCAGGCAGTGTTGGGACAGGGAGGATGAAGCAGGCAGAGAAAGGAGAACCTTTCAGTGAAGGGCTTTTTTTGGTCAAAATATTCTCAAGAAGTATTTGTTAATCAGTAAAAATGAACTAGTATTTTCTTAAAATAAAAGCAAATACCACAGACTAATTTTCATTTCAACTTGTTACTACTTACAGCACACAGCCGTCTGACATATCCAGTCACATTGGGGGGGGAAACGTTGAAATTACCCGTTAAAATCAGACTTGCTATTCCATGACACTGACAGAGGGTTGAGATCAAGAAATTGTACATTCACGCATGGAGCTTTTCTTTGAAAGAGTCTCAGTGAAGTAATAGGAAAATCTTCTGTAATGCATTAGTTCATACTCCTTTTACTTCACCCAGCTGACTTCCAGACTCAGCCAAAACTTCCCTGAGGCAACTGTTATCACAGCAGTGATTAAGAAAAGAGGTAGTGCTTGAACTTTGCTCGTCAGATACCCATCTTAAAAATTGTTTCCCATTGTTTACCTTCCTCCTATCGTTCCTTTTCAGAATATGCTTTGACAGAACTTCAGGCCACATTTTTTTACTTTGTCTTTGAACACAGTTTGATGATTTCTAGTACATCATCTGGGAAGATGTAAAATTAAAAGGAATTCCAGCACTAAATTAACCAGTGAAAAAAAATTGGACTAACTACTGGAAGTCTGTTAGGGAAGACAATCACTTCAGCTCAGTAGCAATGAAAGACTGGGCAGATAGGTTTCTTAGCAGCAGGACTGCGTGGGGTCAGGGCTGTGGGATCTCCCCAAAGGCAGATCAGCCTGGCTCTGCTGATACTGCCCTGACCTGGCTGGCAGGGGCCACATGCAGGGCGAGGGAGCCCTGCAGCCCATGCACGGCTTTGAAAGGAAAGGCAGAGAGACAGGTGTTGGATGCAGGATTGGTTTATTGCAAGTGCAGGAAAGCACCCACTGGAGAAAGACACACAAGTCAGAGGCAGGCAGGTTGTCCCCCCAGGCTTCAAGAGAGGTGTTGCTTCAGGCTTCTCCCAGGCGGTGGCAGTTTCAGGGAGAAGCAAGTGTCCTCTGGGACAATGGTGGCGTTACACATTTGGCCACTGGCAGGGGCAAGGAAGAGGAGATGAAACAAATGAAGAAGGAAATGAGAAGTGTAATTTATGGAGCTATTCTGACTCCACTGTATTAAGTGGAAGTCTTTAATGCTCTGCCCCTTACTCAGGAGCTCAGTTGAGGATCAAGATTGTATCATGCATTCACCAGTCGTTCTTTAGTCAAGGGATATTTCTGTAGGATTTAGCATGGCCCGCAGCTGCCACTGCGGTACCTGCTGTACCGGTAGGAGTAAGGGCTGCAAGAGCCAGAACCATAAGATCTGCCATAGCCATACAAGCCCCTGTAACCCAGGGAGCCCCCATAGCCATACAGACCCCCAGAGCCCAGACTGGAGCCCCCATAGCCGTACAGAGCCCCATAGCCCAGGGAGCCATAGCCCCCATAGCCGTACAGACCCCCATAGCCCAGGGAGCCCCCATAGCCCCCAAGGACAGGGGCTCCAGAGGATCCCACAACTGAATCCTGGGGGAAGGAGCTGAGGATGGGGCCGGGGAAGGTAACAACAACAGGGGGTGGCTGGATCACAGCTGTGGAGTCAGGGCACTGACGGACACACGGTTCATTCCCACTGTCAGCGAGGGGCTGGGGGCGGTAGATGCCACCAACGGCCGTGGAACACAGGTCATAGCAAGACATCTTGCAGGGATGGAGGTCAATCTACAAGAGTTGATTTTATCAAGTACAAGGCATTATTTACATACATAAAAGTGCTATAGAGTTTGCTGCCTTTCCTCAGACAAGAGTGCTTTGAAGTACACCAATTTACCTATGTCTATTAGAAATGAAAATTGAAGCAGAACGGCAAAATTATTTGCTCAGATGCTTTGGTGAGTCAGTGGATCAGCAAGGACTCCAAAAATGGAGCGTGTTGTTATGCATGATTTCATGACTCTAACTCTTCATTCCCACTGATCTGCTTCGTGCTGAGCCTTGTAAGAACAGGCATTATAAGTCATTGTCTATTCAGATTTGCTCAGTAACTTGTTTGATGAGACCATTATAAGGGGATTGCAAAGATTATTGTCCCCAATTTCCACATGCTGAATCAGGGCACCGAGATATTTATGACTAGCATAACAACACAGTGTTTTGATTCTGGGCTCCGAACTCTCTTGAAAAAAACCTCACCCCAAACAATTTGCCCCCATTAACACGAAAAACCCAGTGCTTCGCCTCCTTAAATTACCTCCATGACCCCTCTTAATTAAATTAATTTCTTACAGAGCATTTTCAACAGCTCTCAGTTCCTCTCTCTGTCCAACTCTATCTAAGCCAGTGCCTGATCTCTGGTAGTATTCATACCCATTTATCTTGAATTAATGTAAAAGCACCTTGAGAGATATGGAATAGAATAAACTGGAGATAATGGAAGGTGTGCTTCTAAGCTCAGCATTTCCCTGTGAACCATGAAGATTTAAACTTTTTCAAATAATTTCCAGTTGCCCATATAAACAAACAGAGAAGCTGTTGAAAGTGAACTAAATTTTCTGCCATATCGAGAAACTTTTCGTTTGCTTTGAAATTAAATGCCAACGCTGAATGCAGAGAACAGCTGTCCGTAACAGTTTTAATCATTTCTGTAAACTTTATCTTTTCGTCTAAAATTTTACCCACTAGTTCTTAATGGAAGAGACCATCCTAGACTAAATTGTATAGCAAAGAGCTATTCCAATAGTTCTAAAGAGCAAATTCAGACTTACCCAATTCACTGAGAAGAATGAGTGAAGAGAAGAGGTTGGAAGAACCCTGAGTGGAGAGAGCTTTTATACAGTTCAGACTGCCTGAGGGATGAGAGGCTGGTTTCATGAATGTGGATCTAATTAGTTGACACAGCACATTTTTTGTATTGATAGCTACGCAAAGTGATGAAATTGTTTAGCTTTCTGTTTTTACTGCTTGATTTCAATTATCATGTAACATAACACACACATTACATCACGCAAGGTTCTTTCATCTAAAAGAGCGATGGGTGAAATTAATGCATCTTTCATCCTAAAACATGATTCATGAAATTAATATCAGTTTTCTGTTCTCTTTGGAGCGGCACCATGCAGTAAGCTGCTTATACATAGATATTCTTGTTTTGCTATCTTATATGACAATGATGCTCAGACATTTACCAGAAATAACCTGCTGTGAGGTGTTTCTTCTGAAGTCCCTTATGTAAGTTTTCTCTCTTCTTAAAGATAAAATACAATTTATCTTTAAATCCTCCGGAAGGCAGGCAATATTCTTTGTGTGCTTACATTTATTTCTGAGATGTGATACAATTCATATTGGAATCCATGGAGGACTCTTAATACTCTCTGAATCAACTTATATCGTGAGCATTCCCGAACACACAGTGTCAGACGTCCAAAACAGCATTAGGTTTTATCTGACCCTCAAACTACATCTTAAAACTGAATTTAGTTCTGAAAGGAGAGATATATTTTTATATTTAATGCTCAGGGTGGAAAGCTTAAAATAATCAAAGTGTACATTGAATTACTATCTAAATTTGTGATTTACTGAGATAGCAGTGTGTTTTTGTAGAAGGTATATAGGAGAAACCACAAATTTAACTGTATTAGAAGAAAAGCCTTTCTTTTTTGAAAGAAAAAAAGAAAGCTGTGAAGTGAGATTTCAGAGTAACAGACCAAGCCACTAAGTCTAACAGCATTAACAACTCAAAGGATTCATCCCAGAATATGTAATTCTGACTGGTGGCCCATTTGCTCATCTTCTATGTTTTATCTCTGCCCTTCTCCTGACATTGAACAGGCTCCTTTTCACTGTTCAAAACTGCTGAGACCTGCTGCTTAAATCAAAGACCATTCACGGGTGTTAAGGGATTTCTGCAGCTCTTATTTCACTTGCATATCCAATAGATAAAAGCAACCTTTTAGACACCAAAGTGTCTAAAGTGTCATCGAAGTGACATCAAAAATTGGACAGATTCCCAGTGAATATCTAGGAAAATCATAAGCAGTCAGGGATACTCAAAACTTTCAGCTCAGTTTGATCCACAGATTTGAGAGGGTGCATTTTCCTGAAGTTTCCTTTAATTTCTAGCTTGCTCCTAAGGAGTCCTTGATCCTGGTCTACAACTGATGTTGCAGCTAACCCCATCATTGATGGCATCTTTCAGTAGAGAGCAATTATGAGGTGGGAATCCACCGGGAAAAGCAAATGCTGGCTTTTGCTGAGGTTTCTTTCTTTGTTTATGCCATTATTGTAATATTATATCATTATCATGGTTATCATAATCATCAACATGGTTGTCTTCAGACCACATATTATTTCTAAATTATGAGCTTTTCCAAATCTGGAGATACATATGGAGATTTCCTGAACTATAATACTAAAAAAAAGCCATCTCAAAGTTTTGCAAGAACATTCCAAGGGATTTTCAAATACTTCATGAACACCCATTACTAGCTTGTACATACTGTGTCATAATTATATAAAAAGTATGCCTGGATGCATACACCCCACTATTATGAGAGATTATCACATTAAAATACGTCAGTTAAGGTCATTTGGGTCTTTCCCGTAATCGGTTCATGGTTTATAACACTTTTTGGACCTCCTTTCTTTGACTTTAACAATAAAATGTACCTTCTTTTTTATTTAAGTGCACATTGGTCCAGAAACAGAAATCTGCTTATGTTAACTCAACTATTAGGAAAAAAAACCCAAAAAACAAACCAACCCCAAAACAGGGTACAACAGGGTTTGTCTTCATCGTGTCAGGGCTAGAATCCCTTTCAGTAGTCACATCTTATCACCGGATTTACTTGTTTCTCTTAGTCTTATGTTCCTAGGTACGTCTCTCTAACATGTAACAATACGGGAAGAAAACACGATAAAATATAAAGGAAAGCAAAGCTTGATGAAACAACTCAGAAAAAGCAGTTTCCATAGGCCTGTGACTGCCAGCTGAAATATTTCTCTCTTCCCGGGACTGAAAGATGACTAGTAGAGAACTGTCCAAAAGCCATTAAAATATGCTCCTGATTATTGTGTTTGCCTTGCATTGAGTAGCTGGAGGTAAAAGTGCTAAGCCTGCAGAAAGAATGTTTTTACCCTGGTTGTTTGTCTCCAGCCTTCATTTAAGCTCCTAAAAGAAATTCCATTTTGTCTCCAGGTATACTGTTGATTACACTAAAAGACCTGTAACTGGATAAAAGAAATTACTGTCCTCCTGTCATCCTAATTAAGCAGGACTCTTAAATAAATTAAGTCAGCTTACTTCCTCCCCTAATGCTAAAGAGAGCAATGGAATAATAAAAAATAATTTCACAGATAAAGCCTGGAGATAATAGGCAGGTCTGTGGTGGAGTGTGCATGTCACGCTATGTGTGGGTTTGAAGTGCCTGCAACGCACAAGAAATAAGCAAAAACAATTTCAGCACTTTGAGGAACTACGTGTCCTACAATTTGGGGTTGGTACCTAATTAAGAAGTCACGCATAGGATGCCTAATGTCCTCCAGGCAATTGACAGAGCTGTATAAAAGCTCTCTGCATTCGGTCTTTCTATCCACTTCTCCCACTTTATTCACCTTCGTGAACTGGGTAAGTCAGATTTCTCTCAAACGTTGCTATACTTCGCTTGCTGTCAAGAACCCTTGATTTTAACTTAGGACCAAGTCCTTTTCAGTTACTACCAGGCTGCCAGTGATCTGTAGATTATTTGCTGGAAATAATGTTTGGCTTCTCATTTGTTACCAGGCCCTGTAAATATAGGCTCCAGAAGAGTTTCAAGCAGTTTTGAATCCCAAACTTGTAACATTTTAGTGCTTCAAAGAATTCCTTGACTATTTTAGGAGATAAAGAATAGTTCATATACGTGGTTGCATATGGCTACATTTAGCAGCATTCTGCTGAGTTTATAACAGGAAAGATCAAACTTATTAAGTAGACACTATCAATTAATAGTCATATAATACTATCAAAATTAGCTCATCTGGAAATACCAAAGATACAATTGAAAAGTACGTGATTTCATCATACTAAAGTCAAAACTAACCTCCAGGTTACAGTGCTAGGAAGAATAGTAAGAGAAAACATGTTTGCTTCCCAGATTTATTACTGACACCCTGTTGGACTGCTTCATCGTAACCTAACATCTGATATTGCTTTAATGTTAACATAAACGACCATGTTTTACAGACTGACTTCCATCCCTGCGAGATGTCTTGCTACGACCTGTGCTCCACCTCTGCCTGCGGTGTCTACCGCCCCCAGCCCCTCGCTGACAGCTGCAACGAGCCATGTGTCCGTCAGTGCCCTGACTCCATGACTGTGATCCAGCCGCCTCCAGTCGTCGTCACCTTCCCCGGCCCCATCCTCAGCTCTTTCCCCCAGGAGTCAGTTGTGGGATCCTCTGGAGCCCCCGTCCTTGGGGGCTATGGGGGGTCCCTTGGCTATGGGGGTTATGGCTCCCTGGGCTATGGTTCCCTGGGCTACGGGGGTCTGTACGGCTATGGCTCCGTGGGCTACGGGGCTCTGTACGGCTATGGGGGTTCCGCTCTGGGCTCTGGGGCTCTGTATGGCTATGGGGGCTCCCTGGGTTACAGGGGCCTGTGTGGCTATGGCAGATCTTATGGTTCTGGCTCTTGCAGCCCTTACTCCTACCGGTACAGCAGGTACCGCCGTGGCAGCTGCGGGCCATGCTAAATCCTACAGAAATATCCCAAGCGATGCATAACCGACAGATGAGGTGTGATGGTTTCACAGCTAAAGAGATCTGAACCTCCACTGCCCTGTTCCAGGACCACAGAGCTGTACCCCTTCAGCCCCTTTTGAATTCTTCCTCTTAACTTCTACCTTCAGTTTCTGCCCTAATGCTTCTCCTGTAACATTTCCATATTGCCTGGGTAAACATGTAACAAAGTTGTTCAAAGTTATTGCTGTTTGTTCAAATCAACAGCTAAGACTCAGGAAGAAAAAAAAAAAGAAATCAATCATATGTGAATGTATCCCTGACTGGAGAAGAGTTTCATACTTCTTGTAGCCTCTGAAAATGTATTTCTTTTCTCACTATCATTAAAAGTTTATTGCATCAAAGTTGCCACGTTCTGGTGTTCTTTTCTCATACCTTTACCCTTCTTATTTGTCTTAGAAGCCTAACCTGTACAGATGTCAGTAACAGTCTAAACTGTGTAGATTAATGTCTTGCCCCCAAAAATCAGGGATTTCTAATGTACAAAAGCAGTGTGAAGCACTCCGCACAGAAGGAACTGCTGTCCTGTCCTCCCCATTTTTCAGATAAAGATTCTTGACATTTTTTAAGAACTTGGCTTCTTGGTTGTATATCCACCGGTTCCAAATTAGTAATGGTAGAGAAATGAAACAGTAGATGACTAATTTTAAAGTCTTTCCTAAAAACTTTAGTAAGAATTTCTTCCAGGTAAGTCTTTGATTCAACTCTTTGAACTTCCAGTTCTCACTCAAATACTTAAACTCTGTTCTCAGTAACACTCTCTGGAGAAAGTTGAATTATTTTTCTGTCAAATCCTTAAAGAAAGTTAGTTGTCTGGGCCATACAGTGGAATTGTATGGTAACAGTCTTTCTGTATAATCATGAAATCTAAGGTGTTAGAGGTTTTTTGATGGAAAAACAGCTATTCCATACAGCTACCCCAAGGGCTAATTCATCTATGCCAGCAAGAACAGCTGGAGCAGACAGAACAGAGTTATGGTGCCTGGAAAGCTTAAAAGGTAGAAAAAGTCATAACCCTGCATACATATCCTCAACAATGCTGTTGCATTTCCTAATTCCTCCTGCATGGGAAGTCCTCACAACAGAAACCCCCATTTTCATCAGCTCTAACTTTTGACCTCTCTCATGATATTCCTCATCCAAAAGGTCCATTAGACATCCTACCCACCTCTGAAGAGCTCTTTTCCTTGTTGCAGCTCCTCCAACCCTTTCCCTCTCAGCAGCTCCATACCAATACCCTTCACCTCTCTCTCTCCCCACCTCCCTAAGTCCCTTCTGACTCAGGAGCATCCCTCCCACCTGAGGGCCTCATCTGCCACTCTTTTGCCCATAATCTGCTTTGAATCCAGCCTCAGCTGAGCCACCAGCTCTGCTCCTGCTATGATCAGCAAAGACGTTCAAGTGGCTCATTAACGAATGGAAGTTTAGTGTGGTTTCTTTCTAAACATCATGTTATTATTGTAAACCAGGCCAGCTGGGGAGGGAGGATTCCTGCTCCCAAATGTGTGCACTGAGTGCAACAAAGGGTGACCGACTTCACTGGTAGCTGGGCCATTTCAGCTGTGTTTTTGAAGTCTGAGCCTCAGCCTATGTAAGGATGTGAGTTTTCCCCATCTACAGAGAGCGGAGTTGTATATCCATAGCAGAAGAAATTAAAACTAAAAGATGATTTGTTTGATGCAGAGTAGAATCACTTTAATGAGAAATAAATATTCACAGAAAAGCATTGTAGGATATCAAGAATAGGCATCGGAGTGCAGACAACTCCTTCCATAATTGCTCTTCTTCAGTTGGACAGTGAAGTGCCATTTTATAAGAATATAAATTACCTGTTTTATCCTACCCATTTTACACATAGATAGAAAAAAAGCCCAAAAGACCATGAGTAGAGGGTGAAAAAATTAAGGATATGCTGTGTACTCCCAGCTGCACTGCAGAGGGGTGGCAGTGATCAGGACTTCACATCTCCTTTGTGACCACTGCTGTGGATCAAGATTGTCTCTCTCAGTTGCCGGTTATTCCTTACTTGGGGGATATTTCTGTAGGATTTAGCAGGGCCCACAGCTGCCAAGGCTGTACCCATTGTGCCAGTAGGAGTAAGGGTTGCAATAGGCAGAGCCATAGGGTCTACCATAGCCGTACAGACCCCTGTAACCAAGAGAGCTCCCATAGCCATACAGACCCCCGTAGCCCAGGGAGCCATAGCCCCCATCGCCATACAG